TCTGTTCTTTGTTTAATTTCGCCTCTTTTTCTGCCTTCTTTCGGATTGAGAAATTTTTATTTCATGTAATATCCTCTGTTGACTTATGAGCTATAACTTTGTTTTGTTATTTTAGTGGTTGCTTTAGTTTATATCTTTAATTTATCACAGCCTGTCTACAAATGATATTGTTTCTCTTCACATACAGTGCCAACGACCTTACAATAATATACTTCTATTTCTCCCCTCTCAGTTTTTGTGGCATTTTGTTACAGGTTTCACTTCTACGTATGTTATAAATCTAACAGGACTTTTTTTTAGCTTCAATTCTCTTTTTAACATATTCACTATTTCCTCTACCTTTTTGAACATATGGAAGGGTTATAAAGTTTCAGTGTCCTTTCTCCTAATTCTAAATCTGGGTCCTTCTGGGCTGGTTCTGATCGATTGCCTTGTCTCTTCATTTTGGGCTACGCTTTCCTGCTGCTTCGCGTGCCCGATACATGTTGGTTGGATGCCAGGCGTTGTGAACCTTCCCTTGTTGGTTGCTGGATAGTCTTGCATTCCTACGAACATCCTCAAGCCTTGTTGCAGGAGGCAGTATTGTGATTGGGAAAGAGTTTGATCCTTGCTTGTAGGAGTTGTCAGGTGGGACCAGAGCCACCTTTAGTCTGAGTAACCGTCTCTCACCACTGAGGCCAGGCTGTTCTGCGTGTTCTGCCCATGCTCCGCGTGTTACAAGATTTTCTAAAGGCTGGTGGAAGCAGGCCCAGTTCCCAGGCACTGTTCCCTGAATCCTCCTGGGGGATTCTTTCCTGTCTCTGGTGGTCTCCTGCACTCATCAGCCCTCTGCTGAATACGCGAGTGGTCCTTCTGCAGACCTCAGGATGCTCTGTCTGTATAGCTCTCTCCCCTCCACACTCCGCCCCGTGGTCTCTGGCTGCCTCAGTCTCCCCAGACTCTCAGTCCCGAGGTTCCCCTTCCTGCTCTGCAGCCCAGAAGCTTTCCCCAGGCAGTCAGCGGAGGCCGTTGTAGGGCTTGCCTTGTTTGTTTCCCTCTCTCGAGGCTCACGGTCGGATATACCTTGAAAGCTGTTTTCACACATGCTGTCCCTTTTGTGGTTGGGAGGGTAAATCCGGTCCCTGTTTCTCCATCTTGGCTGAAAGCAGGGTTTTCTTAGGCCTGCGGTTTTAACAGCCAGATTTCCACCCTCTTCTTTCCCTCCCTTTGTGGGAAAGGAATGTAACTTCTGAGTCTGAATCTGGCCCAACCTCCCCCTCCCAGCTGGGGGATCTGGTTCCACATTTCCCTGTCTCTTCTCAGTGTCATAAACGCAGGTAATGTGTGTCCTTACCTCCCAGGTGAGCCTCTGATACCAGAATGGGAGAGTCAAGCTGTGCGTGGACTGGCCAAATTCCCTCCCACGGTGCCGGTGCCACTGGAGTTTCTTCAGGTTGTCCTGTGACCGGATGTTCCATGACAGACCCCGAGAGACCCTGGTGGAACCCGAGGGTGATCCGGGTGTGAGGTCTGTGCCGGTGGCCAGAAGTTGGGCAGCTCAGTGACCGGGGCTGGGTCCCGTAGGCCTCCGCCCCAGGCCCGGGGGCTCTGGCGAGCCTCATGCCACAGAAGGATGACAGCCGGAGGGTGGGGAGCAGGTTGCTCCAGCCTCACCCCCACCAGGGTGGCAGCCAACAGCTGGGACCCTGCTTGCCGTCTCCAGACCTCACCACAGCCCCTCATCCATCCCTCGGCGTGGAGCGCAGGGAGCTGATTAGAAGTTCATTATAATTTGGTTTCCTGGCTTTGGCGGAGACCAGAGGGGGCTGCTGAATGCACTGTCCAGGCCCCTGTACCCCCGCCTGCCTTTGCTGAGCAGTGACAGTGTCGCCCACGTCGCCTGGCTCCTCTCTGACATCCTGGCAGCCCTTCCCTCCCCGTGGAGAGTCCAGTAACCGAGTCAATCAGGCAGGGTGGGCATGCAGACGGCATGCCGCGGAGACGCCCCGTGCTGGGCTGGGGGCCGTCGAAGAGCCAAAAAGGAGCTGTCGCCAGCCTATATTTGTCGCCCTCACCTTGCACACAGAACATGGCTCTCAGGCACCCAGAGAAGTGAGGCAGGAGCCCGCCCTCGGGTGGCAGAAGAAGGGGACGGATGGTGCAGGTGAGGGCGAGGCTCTGTGCCATGACCATCCATTTCAGAGAGGGGGAAACCGAGGCCTGGCCCGAAGTCGCCCAGGTGGGAGCAGTAAGACCAGGCTGGGTCCGAGCCCAGGCCCGGGTGCTAGCGGTGGACAGCAGCTGACGGATTACGTCTTGTCGGAGCGGGAGTGAGGGAGACCTGAGCCCGCGCACGTGTGGTCCTGTGTCACAGACCTCGAGGCCCAGCCCGCTGTCAGCTCGTGTCCCCCTCCCTGGTGGCTGAGTGGACAGAGTGGATTGTGGCCGAGACAAATTATCCCGAAGTGCAGACAGGCGGGCGCTGGGGCGGCGGGGCCCCAGGAGGCCGAAAGAGAAGAGGCGAGGTCTGGAGGAGGGCCACGCGCTCGCTCTGGACGTGACGTCCCCCTCCCCGGGCCCCCACAGCTCCGTCCAGCCGTCCGTCACAGCACCGTCCTGTCCCAGCCTCCCCAGGGCGGAGGTTCCTGCTGCCCAGCCCGGGCCTCCTGACTTGGCCCATCCGGGCCCCTTTTCCTTGGGCTTTTGTCCTGTCCTGTAATAAATGATCGTCATGAGTCCTAGAGGGTCGTCGAACCTGGGGTGGACTTGGGGACCCCGACACACACACGTAGACACCCCCAAACTGCCCCCCAGACCAAACATAGAACATTTCCAGGGCCCTTAAGACACCCTCTCCCAGCCAGCGCTCCCCAACAACCTGACCCTTGTCCCCTGTTGCTGTCACTGTCCCCCATTCCTCCCAGTCGTTCTGGGGCGTCCTTGTCGCTGGACCACTCCTCTGCGTGCGTCTGCACTCAGAGGAATTGCTTTGTTTTTCTGCACTCGGCTCGCTCACAAACACATCTGTCTCCGGGAAAGAGCCGCCCGTGACGCGGTGACGTGTCATCCGCCAGCAGGACGCTGCTTAATGACACCGTCTCTCCTCCCTCCCAACCCCCAGCGCTTAACTCCCCCTCTTACTTTAAAAGCCTTGTGAGTATCGGCTTGTTTAAGACGATGCCCTTATTAAAACGCTCCCGGGGGGCTCACCGGCTGCGTGGCCGTCTCTGCCTGCCCGAGACCGTCTGAGAGCACAGCGGTTCATTAGGACAGTTCTTCATCGAGCCTGACACTGGCTTCCCACGCAGCCGGACACGCGTGTCGCAGAGATTTGTATGATGTTGGAAGTGCTTCCGTGAGCCTGTTCTCGCAAGCAGAGAGCTTTGGGGGTGAGGCACGGCAGCCCCCGGCTCTTCTCCTCCCCAGAGGGCTCGGGGTCCTCTCAGGGAGTGGCAGCCAGGTGCCTGGACCGTGCCCTCCAAGGCAGCGCAGTATTTCTGCAGCATTCGTGTGGCACGTCTCACTGTCCATCCACCAGGCTGTCACCGGTGCCGACGTCAGATGGAGCCCTGGCTGGCCCGGCCCCCGCCATCCGTCCAAGCACAGAACGCAGGGCTGGCATGAAGCCGGTTCTGCACAGAGATGAAGGTGGGCGGGCCTGGGGTGGCAGACCCGGGTCTGACTGGCCCCCGCACTCGCTGCGGGACCTTGGGCAGAGGGTAACCTGACCCCCCCACAGGCCCCCAGCCCGTGTCCCCGTCTCCCCAGCTCATCGCGTCGTTGCTACGCTGGAGTTGGAAGGAGAGTATTGAGCTCATAACGCCACAGCTTGAGCACGTGTCTTCCAGAGCATGCACATCGGAAGCAATGACAGTAAAGACACTGCCCCCTCTGAAAATAAAGCGACTGCTGCCTCTGATAACAGTGACACCGAGAGCTGTGGTCGCTCCCCCAGTTATTATCCACCTGGTGCCGGCCCTGTGCCAAGTCTTTACGTCTGTCGGCTCCTGAAGTCCTCACAGCGCCCCGATGCAGTCTCAGCCCCATTTTACAGATGAGAAAAGTAAGGCTCAGAGAGGGTGATGGGTTGGTCCACGGTCACACAGCTCCTTGCGAGCCAAATCACACATGGCATACAGACCGCCCAGCAACTCGTCCTGCACTTTCTCTCTGTTGGCGTGGTTGGGGGATGGTTTCATTTGTCGCCATTGGGCATGTGTGCAGTTGCCCATGTGTGAGCTGACTCAAGGAGCTGCTTGCTCTTGTTTACAAGTGTTTGACAAACAGCAAAGGTGGCCCCCAGGAGAGCCCAGTGCTATTGGTGGGGCTGGGTGATGTGGACGCCTGGGCTCAGTAATAGATGTGTGTGTGTGTGTGTGTGTGTGTGTGTGTGTGTGTGTGTGTGTGTGTGTGAGAGAGAGAGACACTGTTTTCTTTTAAGTAGAACTCGTTAGACACCAATAACCAGACAGGCGATGGGTGGGCAAGGTGTGGAGAACTGAACGCCTCAACATAATCCCACAGCTTTCTCCCCAGCCCTCCACGGGACGGTTATTCTAATACTTCATCTTCTCTCTCGGTGACCCCGTCCCTCCTTAATGGGGAGTCGCTCAAACTCCCTGCAGGCAAACCCTCTCTCCCGCCGGCCTGGTCTTCAGTGGGTTTTGATGTCGAGGCCCTCCCAGGCAGCTTTCACCCGCTCGCCCCTTCTCTCTAGCAAGTCGCTGGGCACCTCCCTGTGGGCACAGCGTCTCTGAGCCCCTCCACCCCTGGCGGGAGGGCCTGGCCCCAGGCGAGGTAAGGAGCCGGGCCTGGGCCAGGGAGCATGTCTGTGGCTGCACCGTCCGAGGGGACAGAGCCTGAATTGGCGCCTGGCCTGAACCCAGCCCTCCTCTTTCCCCTCCACCCTGTGACAAGCATCACAGTCTCTGATTGTTCCCAGTTAGTCAGGAAGGAAAAAGAGCCAAAAAGACCCGGGGACCTTTGCATCGCCCCTTCGTCTGTCTTCTTTCGTCCCTGCCTGTGGCAAAAACTGGCATGGAGATCACAGCCGCCCATGTGCGTTGTTACAGTGATCGTCTGAGACACCAGGATGGTCCTTTCCGATCGGAAAGGAGGCCTTTCCAACCTCTCCTTGGAGGAAACCTCTGCCCCCAGCTCCCTGCAGCCGCTGGTAAGGATCAGGGTCCTCTCGATGCCACTGCCATTTGTTTTATGTCACAATTATGACTTGAAATGATTTTGTCGCATGGGGGAGGGGAGATTTAAAATGACCAAAAGGATCCAGGCAGGGAGGTAGGACGTGGGTGTGCGTTGCCCACACCGCCTTCCCCCCCAGGACGTGCGGCTCCCGGAGCAGCACCCCTGGGACAACAGGTTCCCGGGGCCCTGGACACCCCCATTTGGCCCTGCTGGCCGCCCGAGGCAAGTGCTCCTCGGTGCCTGGTGGCCCAGCACTGTGTGCTCTGATGAGAGAGCGTTTTTCCTGCTGTGTTGTGCTGAGTTGCTATGGCAACAGTTTCAAAAGCGGCAAATTTGCTCTTTCCTCTTAATTCTCGGACGCTCTCAGCCCTTCCAAAAATATTCTTATTTTCCTGGGTCCCCTGTGGGACTAGACACATTCGCCACAGGACCCAGAACCACCTCACCCACCATGTGTGTATATATTGTATCAAATCCGATGCGCAGCAAGTAACTGAGCAAATATTTTTAATAAAAATGTTCTTACCATCCTTTCTGTAAGTTGTACTAGACGCTGGCGATTCAAAGAAAAATTAGGTTCAGCTCATGTCCTTAAAGAGCTCTCGGTCTCTAAGAAACATAAACCAGTACACAGCTGACTATGATCTCATGGAACATAACATAATGTACTATAGAGTAATGTTAGTGCGCATCTAACACTAAAGTAATGCAATATAATGTAGCCAATATAACAAGGCAATATAAGCACACAGCTAACTACGATGTAGTGTAACTACAATATAATACAATGTAACATAAGGTCACACAATGTAATATAAGTACACAACTATAATGTCATATAGCGTAATGTAATGTTAGTACATAGCTAACTATATGATGTAATATAACATAAAGTAATGCAACATAACATTATAATGTTATAAATAAAAGTTTATAATACATATAATTATATATGATAATTCTATATTAGAATATATATAATAATACAGTGCAGTGTAATAGTGTAGTAATCATGTCAGTTGTAAGAACAAATTCGTGTGGGGCCCCAGCGGAGAAAACCATTAATTCACCTAGAGTGACAGTAAGGGCTAGGAGCTGGCAAACTTGGATTTTTATTTCTGATCAGTTACTTAGGAGCTGTGCAAGTTCAGGGAAATGACTTGGCCTCTCTGAGCCCCCAGTCACCCACCTCATGCTGGGCTGGGGTGAGCATGAGTGACACCACGAAGTCCCAGCACCCAGTACAGAGCAGCCCTTCATTGGGAGTCATGCCCATCCCTCTTCAGCCCGCTCAGGAAAGGGCGGGACGTAGCCGGAGCCCCCGGGCAGCAGAGGGGCAGGAGGGCAGGCGGCAAAGCCAACGGCCTGAGCAGCAAGGTGACTGCAGGCAGGTGCCTGGGCGTGGTTCAGGGGAGGTGAGAAGGCCAGTGTGGCCGGTGCAGGGAATCGGGTCTGACCCATCGCCATCAAGGTGACTGCAGGCAGGTGCCTGGGCGTGGTTCAGGGGAGGTGAGAAGGCCAGTGTGGCCAGTGCAGGGAATCGGGTCTGACCCATCGCCATCCCTGGGCAGCAACCCGGGGGAGTCACTGCTGAGCAGGACTGATGTCACGGTGGCTCAGTGTTCCTGAGGGTGACACTAAAATACACACAGATGTTGCTCTAGGAATCCTCTGTGTGCACCCAGAGCCAGTCACTGTGTCATTGTGACTTGTCACATTGGGGTGCTGCAGGCGCGACCTCCGCCTTCCCCTCTTTGAGGGAATGAAGCGTCTCTCCTCTTTGTCCAGCACAGTGTCGGCACATGGAGGTGTCCACTCAGTGGTTACAGAGGGGACTGTGGGGTTTGTCGCCTCTGAAACAAGCATGAGGACGGTGCCCACCTCATGGGGTTGTTCACGATAAAATGCACTCCTGCCCATAAAGTGCCCAGCCCATTCCTGGCAGAGAGCAGGCTCTCAAATATTAGCTTTGATTTTTATTTCATGCACCTTACTTAATTGAAAACTCTTCAACATGTAAACATTAGCTAACAGGAGTGACAAGTGCTGATTTTAGGCGGCAAATATGGCCGTTATCTCAGCCCACATGGAGAAAACAGAAGAAGGGGGGTGTCTGTCTGTGTGTTGCAAAACTGCTTTTTTTCTTGGGTCTTTCAACAAAATAGCCCATTTTTAGGCCAGTTCTCTGCAGGACATCATCCCTAAGCATCCTGGGCTGGACAACTTAATGAGAAAGCCTGCGGGTTTGGGGTGCGGAAGCCTGGAGGCCCGTCCCAGATCTGTGATGTTCACTTGAATGACCCCAAAAGCCTGGAGCCAGACTCTCATTGCTGACCAGCGGCTCGGACTCCAGCTGTTAACTTCGGCATTTGGTAGAATTTGCCCATGAAACCATTTGGAGATTTCTTTTTTTTCCCTTCAGGATGTTTTTGCCTCCGTCCTGCACACAGTGGTCCCAGGGTCAGTTCCGACTGGAAGCCTGGGCCACGGTTCAGGCTGGGCTGCACACCCACCTCTCGGGTGCGTCTGGGCCTGGACAGGGTTATGCCTTAGTTCCATCCTCAGAGCCTTTACCTCATGACTTTGGGTGACTTCTGTGCACAGCCTGGAGGGAGCTCAGAACCTGTGCAGGTTCATACGCAGAGCAGGGATCCCCTCTGCCAGCTTCCTCCCCCAGGACACTCTTTGGCTCTCAGGGGCCTTCTCTCCCAGCCCTCTGGCTAGAAACAGTGTTTCTGTCAACTTGATTGTCCTGTGCTGTCTGTCTCACAGCTCTGCACTGTCACATGCCCGCGGGCAAAGCAGGAGAGGAAAGAGAAAGAAAAGGCCGGGGACTCCCCCACACTCTCCCAGCCACAGGGCCCCTCTGGGTTCCTCCGGCCAGAGAGCCGGTTTTCTCTTGTATTTTAGGTTCCCGAGTCCCTGCCGCCACCATCACTGACATAGACACGCAGCCCAGCAACTGAGGTTCACCTTGGGGTGGGGCTGGAGAGAGAAAAGAGAAAAAGGAAAGAAACTGGGGATTTCCCTCTAGCTCTCCAGCCCGGGAGCCCCTCTTCTCAGCCCTCTGTTGACAAAGAGGGGCTTTCTCCTCGGGCTTTCGCCGTGGAAGCTGGGAGCTGAGGGAGACCCCAGTTTGCCCTCAGCCCATCGCTCTTCAGGGCTCTCCTCCCTCCGGCCCATCTGCCGCCTGCAGCCCCGCGTGGGGTCTCGGGGCCCCGTCGTGTGCTGCCCGGAGCTCCCAGCTCAGCTCTGATGGGCTCACTCCTGCTCCGTCCTGGCAGGCGCTGAAAGCCTTTTCATTGTATTTTGACTATTTCATAAGCATCCCCTGGGTCCAGGGCTAAAATCCTCACTGTTTAGACAGGAAACTGACCCAGCAGTGGCCCGTCCAGCAGGCATAGCGGGGCCTGAGCCTGGACTGCACCCTCCTGGGGGGGCATCTCCTGCCAGTTCCCGGCCCTGTGGCTCCTCCCTCCTCAGGTCAGGAGCCCTGGCCTTGCCGGGGTGCTGCTGCAGGGTCCCCACTGGGCCTCCTCCGAGGAGTCCTTGCTGATTGGTGAGGCGGGAATGAAAGCTCCAGGTGGCCTTTGTCTCCCTGACGCTCCTGCCCTGAGGGTCTCCGGCCCTCACCCTCAGGACACGTGATGAGGGGGTCATTGCCTTTTATCTCCCTTTATCGTCTCTGGAACTTCCACTTCTTTTCTCCTGTTCCCAATGGAATTCACTTAAAATTAATGAGATCCAAAGTGGAAAATAAAGAAAATAAAAAAAGCTCCACAAGGCCGAGCCTAAGAGGGCAGCAGGCTGGGCTCCTTTCCCCCGGGTGCCTGGGGCCCCCCAGTGAGGACAGCGAGGATGGGACTTAAACAGTTGCAGCCCCTGAGCCTTGAGTATTAGGGCTTGAGCAGCATTGCAGACTTGGGGGCACGTCTCATGCCTACAGCACCCTACAGGGTGGTCCCCACGACTCTTTTTTCCCCAGACAGGGAAATCCAGGCCCAGAGAGGTTCGGCCACTTGCCCACGTCACACAGCACGGGAGCCCAGCCTCACCCCTGACTCTGCAGCCCAAGGAATTAACCCCAACCCACCCTGCTTTACCGTGAGACCCCCACCACTCCTTCTCGCCTCTGTTAAAGTGCAGGGATGCCGTGTCATGACTGTGTTTGAGTCTGTGTCACTTTCCAGTGTTGACCTCAAGGTCAGAGGTCACGGTTACCCTTGGCATCCCTGGTGCCTGTCCCACACCTTCCCGAGCAGAGTGGGCTGGGCCTTCAGTGTTTGCTGAGTGATTAATGAATGGATGCACGGCACGCGGAAGCTATCCGGCCTTCATACTGGGATCATGGAGACCCTGCGAGAATTTAGTGATAAAAGGAACTATTTTATAATGTCCGTAGGCTGGCTAGGGGCAGTGGTGGCCTTTTCTGATGCACCAGGTCACCCAGAAACCCGGGGCCACTGGTGGTGTGGGCTGAGCAGACAAAACTGAGGGCGTGGCCCCCTGAACAAATTCTGAAACTGCAGCTGGTTCTCAGGTCGGCCACACGTAGAGTTGCCAGATTTAGTTGCAAATAAAACTACAGGACACCCAGTCAAACTTGAATGTCAGATCATTTTTCTAGGATAAGTATAAATTTTTTACTATAATTACATCCAATGTTTGGGATATACTTATACTAAAGTATAAGTGCTGCTGTTTATCTGGAATTCAGATTTAACTGGGTGTCCTGCTGTTTTCTCTGAGGGTTTTTTTGTCTAAGGGTTTATCTGATGATCCTCGCTGCCCCGGCCCCACCTTAGGGCCGTCTGTGACTGACCGGTGGCTGCTAACGCCTTCTCACCTGGCACGGACTTCTGAGCACTGGGCTTGACCTTGGCGATCACTCCCCGGTGAGCGAGGCTGAGAGGCAGGCAGGGCTCCAGGGGGTCAGAACCCCTGTCTCCTGGCCCCGGGGAGATGGGAAACAATACAAATGTGTTTACTCCCGTACAAATTTAACTTAAAATCCACAGCCCAGGAGTACCCGATTCTAGCTGCTGCCAGGATGTGGCCATGCCAGGGCCCTGCGGATGGACGGCCCTCCCGGGGGCCTGGCCAGCAAGCCCACCTCACAGCGCCCGCGCCAATAAAAGCCCGTTCTCTCGCCTCCCCGCCTCTGAAGGCTGGTCATTGTTCAGGACAGAGCCTAAGCCTTGTCTGGTAGCCGTGCTTTGAAGATTTCCTTTGAAAGCTGGTTCTGTCCCTTCCTCAGGAGATGCCTGGCTTAGGGGAGATTTATGTAACCGTCGTGTCCTTGGCAGGAACAGGAGGGGACCCAGAGGCCGCCTCCTTCCTCTGAGCAGCTCTGCTGTGGGGGGCAGCGTGTGGACTGCATGGCCCCCTGGGGACAGTGCCCCAATGTCTACAGCAGCCACCCCCTCCTGGAACCCCTCCCCCAGCATGCAGCCACCATGTGCCACTCGGTGACCCCCGAGACTGAGGTAGCTCGGTGGTTAGAGCGTCAGCCCGAGCAGGGAAGGGTCTTGGGTTCAATTCCTGGTCAAGGGCACATTCCTGGGTGGCAGGTTCTATCTCCCACCCTGGTCGGGGCACATGTGGGAGGCAACCAATGTGTCTCTCTCAAATCGATGTTTCTTTCTCTCTCTTTCTCTCCTTTCTCTTCCTCCCTTCCACTCTCTCTCAAAATCAATGGAAAAAAATATTCTTGGGTGAAGATTAACAAAAAAACAACAAAAACATGTCATCATGTTTTCTCATCTTATAATAAACTATTACAGAGGTTAAGAAATGGCCCTAGATTACACAGCAAGGACATGTTGGCTCCAGGACCAAATCGCATCATGGCCTTGAGGTTCTTGGCTGATGGTGCTAGAATTCATTCATTCACCAAATATATATATTTTTTAGTGTTTCTGCTGTGCTAAGCACTGGGGATCCTGTGGGGAGAGGGCAGGTCCCTGCCTTCCTGAAAGCTGCGGTCACAAAGCACAGCCTTTGGAGGTAACACTGACCTTGAACGTTGGCCTTGGTCCACTATGGCCTGGTGTCCCCTCTTCAGCAAACCAACTTATGTTTTTCTGATCTTGACATGATCTGATGGGGCAACGAGCCCCCACGGCCCCCACCCTGTGTCATTCTCATGGTGTCTAACTTAGCAAGAGGAGACATGGGGGCCTGTTCAGTGTTTGATGTTAGGGGCTGCACCCCCAAGTCGGCTCCATCCATAGGGGCCTATGACGACACCTGCCCACTGGTGTGATGCACCCAGTTGCCACCCGGACGACATCTCCAAAAGTGGCTTAAAAGTAGACGGGGCTGGTGAAGGACCTTTCCCAGCACCTTCGGATNCCTTAAAAGTAGACGGGGCCAGCTGAAGGGCCTTTCCCAGCACCTTCGGATGCTTCTCCCTCAGCCTATTTCCGAGGTGACTTCAGCCTTCGTTCCCTCATTCTGACCATGAGTCAGTTCCTGGTCGCCTCTTCCCAGCGACCAAATGATGGCACTAAGGCTGATCTGTTTGTTTGTTTTCTCCCCCCATGTGGCAATTGGGGGGGGGCACGGGAGTCAGAATCTCTCCTGGGGAGCCTGTCCCTGTAGCATTGGCTCAGAAGCTCTGTCTGGGAGTCTGTCCCAATGAATGGAAATGTGTGTGGAGGCAGGTGCGGGCACCTCAATGTGGGCACAGGGTGTTCATCGGTGCACTGTTTACAGGAGGAAACATGCAAGTTCCTAAGGCTCCAGTTCCAGGGGAACAGACAAATTATGGCCTGTACTTATGAAAGAATATTATACGGCTATGAGAATGGCATTTTGATGGACTTTTTATGCAGGAATATAAAACCACATCTTTAAATGTGTTTTCTCTCTTTCACATACACACACACACACTTCGCACACGTGCACATGTGCACACGCACACACGCAGAAAAAAAGATTCGAGAGAAAAATATCAAAGTGTTAACAGTGAGTATCCCAAAGTGGTGGGATTACGGTTCTCACTTCTTTATCGTCTTTTCTATTTTCATTTCTTTTTTATTTTAGAGAGAGAGGAAGGGACAGAGAGAGAAACGTCGATTTTTGTTGTTCCACTTGGTTATGCAGTCCGTGGTTGGTTCTCGTACGTGCCCTGACCAGGGGTTGAACCTGCCACCTTGGTGTATGCGGACGATGCTCTAACCACCTGAGCTCCCCGCCAGGGCCCATCCTCTCTTAAATTTTCTTAACGTTCTATGCTGAGCGTATAGTACTTAAAATGGGAAGGGAGCTAAAGGCATTTACAACCCACGCTGTCGTGGAGGGGCCTGGCATTCAGAGGCACCGCCATCAGCTGTGGGAGGAGCTGCTGAGCTGCTCTGGGCCTCAGTGCTTCCGTCTGTGGAATGGACATGCATGCCTCAAAGGCTCTGTGCATGCTAATCCTTATAGATTAAAACACACACCGTCTGCTATAAAGACAAAGGCATGGCCCTGCTGGGTGTTTCTCTGCATGGGGTGGCAGGGCCCGGCGGTGCTCCTGTGAAGGGCAGTGAGCCCCGAGCCCCGAGCCC